TCCCGGAGCCCTGGCTCTCCTCTGGGCACAGCCTGTCTGGCCAGTCAGGGGCTGGGGCTGTGCCCCCGGGACTGGTGGCACTGGGGAGCAGAGATGCTGTGAGACCCTGGGCAGTGCGGTGGCCACTCCCTCCCCACCACTTGGCACACAGGAGATGCATCCTCTCATGCAGGTGGCCCTGGGGTCAGTGACCTCCTGCACCCAGCTGGACCCTGGGGAGAACCCTTGAGGGGATGGGACTCTAGGGAGGAAGGCTGGCTCCAGGCTACCCAGAGCCCTCCTGGGTAGCAAGGGGAGGGAAGAGATGGGGCTGGCACCGTCCGTAACTCCCCCCCCACACGGGTCCTACCTGTGGTCACCAGCTACAGAAATGCTCTGCAATGTCCCCCCGTCCTGTCTGGCTGCTCTGCCACGGAGGCCGCACAGGGGACTGTGTGTGAACAGACCTCAGGTCAGTCATTAGCAGCTGCAAAAGAAAGCAACGAACGCAGCAAGGGAGAGCAACACGGCACATCGTCCTGGGGCAGGGCTGAGCCGGTGGGGATGCATCCTGCTGCTGGGATCCTGGCAGGGAGGGCAGGCAGGAACACAGGCAGAGCCTCCCTCAGCTCTCCTGCTATTCCTGTGCCTCCCTATGCCTGCAGGACTAAAGCCCCAAGGCAGCATCCTCGGCTCTGATCCCCCTGCTGCTGGCACTGCTCCTGGTCCCCACAGGGTAACCTGCACTTGTCCCCTGTGTGGCTGTACTTGGCTGCCCACCACTGCTCCAGGGCACCCAGTGCGTGAGGAAATGTCACCACTCCCCCCTGTGCCTGTCACCTGGATGACCCAGACCTGCCAGCAGGCACGGGGAACACCATGGCAGAAATGGTGGCAGTGGCCCAAACTGTCCCTGTCTGCTACTGGAACTGCCTGCATGGGGGACAGGGACTGTCCATCACTGCTTCTGCCTCTGCCACTGTCACTGCTGCCTCTGCCACTGCCTGTGCTCCCGCCCTGCAGCTAAGCTGGGTCTCTGGGGTCCTGCACATGTCCCAGCTGCGCTGCCGTGGGGGCTGCTGCAGCTGTGCCCGTGCTGCCTGCCCTCCTCCTGCCCTGCCCCTGCACAACAGCCACGCTGGCCGCGGGCC